ATCAGGTAAGATGGTGTCCGACCCACCTAAATTTATTTTAAAGTGATCGGTGGCGACACCTAAAACATTTAATCCAAGTCGAAGCCCAACTCCGAGGCCCAATCGAAATACGGTTTCGACAAACCTCAACTGATATGTCGGTGGCACCATTATGGCAGAAGAAAGTTGAACTTAGTACGGCGAACTTTTTGGAGAAGCTCGGTAATGGAGCTTTCGTGTCGGGACACCAAGATTTTGAAGAGACCGGTGTTTCTTTGGATTTATCTCTTTCACTTGGTAATACATCGTAGTCTTCATCAACACCAATTGAAACGGTGAACTTTATGGATAAGATCGGCAATGTACATCGTCCTTTCACTTTGGGACCAAAACCGAAGGTTTGCATGGAGAAGAACGGCGATGGTTTGCAGTCAGACCGAACCAAAACCGATGATGTTTCGTTAGACTTATCTCTTTCGGTGAACAAAAGTTCAAGGTTTGAAGTTGGTGAAAGCAGCAATCACCGTAATATTATAACTTTCTAGTTTTTTTGTTATTCAATTGCTTATATAGATAGGCTGTCAATGTTATGAGTTTAATTCAGTTGAATATCATATTTTTCCTTTCTTCTACTTTCAATTCTATTGTTGTTCCTCTTAGTAAGTTAACATTTTCGAAGAAAGAGATACGAGTGTTAGGGCGGAAAAAATATGCTTTAAATGTAGCATTGGCCGGGGAAATAAGGTTAAGTCTAATAGGCAGAAATGGAGTCGGGGTTACTAAAATATATTTATTTATTTTTAATTAAAGCCACCAGTATTATTAAAAATATATATTTAAAATTACAATAAGAGTTTACAACTATCATCGAGTCTTCTTCTTTTTCTGCTCTTAACGGAGCTCCATTGAAGTAATTTGTTAAGTCTTATTTTTCTTTTCCATTGCAGTAACTTGTATATTAAAAAAAATATTCAGACTACAAAACAAACTTTGAAAATTCCAATACGTAACATGTAATTTTTTTATTACACAACTTATATTAGTTTTGAATTAACCCCAACCCTAAATGAGAGATGGTCTACAATACCAAACCTTGATGGTGTTAAAATTGAACAAATCGCTACAGATTGTACAATCCAGTTCAATGGCAGCTGATGCATGTAAGCGCTTCCGCCTCAATTTTAACAATTCAATGCAAAATAGGAAGATGCTTCAGCCATCATGTATGGTTACTCATTCCAGCCCGACCTGATCGGGAAAATGAAAGACTGGTTGATGGACTATATGTGAACAAGAAGAAAACTGTCTACTCGGTTCAAGATTTTCAGAAACTTGATCGACGATATCTGTGTGAATCGGGTTAAAGTTCGTTTCTAAAGATTCATCATCTTCCCGGTCGTCATTGGAATCATCTTCATCGTCAACAAATTCACTATCATCTTCACAGTCATCAAGCTCATTTTTGTATTCGTCATCGTCGTCGGATGCTATATCTGAAGCTTCATCCTCACTCTGAAAACAAGTACTTCGACAAATTATTCCCTTTACAAAGAAACATTGTCCCCAAACAGTAACAAAATAATTTCAATAATAGTAGCAACATATAGTAACTCACTTGGTAGAGTTCTGAGACAGGGTCAAACTGGCCGTGCTCGCCTGACCCCCTGTTGTTATCGTCCTCAACATCTTCAGCACCCTACAGAACCAACAATAATTCTCCAGTGACAAGAAATACAGACAACGATGACTTTACGGGTATAAAACCACAAAGAATCGAAGTTACCTGAAAGAACCAATGATGACTTTACGGGAAAGAACGGCAACATTGAAGATTCAACAAGTTAGAATTATAAAAAAGAGAAAGAAAATCCCCCCACGTTATAGCCTCATAGCTCTGGTCAAAGACCATTGCATACTCTCATTAAATAGGCATTACTAAAGGAAATGTACACAAATCCATAGAGCATACCAGTAACCATAAATAATGGCAGCATTACGAGCAGACTATCAACCAATTATCACTTGGGAAAGTCCTACCTAGTGTTGGTTCAATTCTGTAATCCACCTAACATATTTCAAGGATTGCTGAAATATTTGAGCAGATTATCCATGGCACTTGCTAAGGTTAACTGGGTTAAGAATGCGGTTAAGAGTTCAAAAATGGAATGTACATAGGAGGAGCACTTACAATTTCCTTTTTCATTTGCTCTATGGTTTTCTCCAGTTCAGAGATATGCCGACTCAGAGCCTACAAATAGTATAATGTAAGACAAAAAAGTAACAAGGAAGAATTGTTATCAAGTATAACAATAAAATCAGAATGTAAGATATCAAACCTCATGGCGTTGCATTGCAACTGAGCGCTTCAATGCCTTTGCCTATGTTAGAAGGTTTCTTGGCCTTATGCTAATGGGCCTGCGGTAATTTTTTCCACGATAGTAGATGAGAGAATATCCTTTGGGGACCCTTTCTATTGCCACCAGTATCCCACCACTTTCATACTCCAATAACCTTGCTGTATCTTCGACAAATGCAAGTTTCTTTTGTTTGGATATTAGCTTTACAAGTTCTCGGTGCTTCCAATGCAGATGCATATTTTCAATTACACCATCAAAAACACCACGGATACCTAGTATATAGTTGTACAAACCATCAGCATTTTAACTTTAAATTCAAAACTCAGTCACCAAACGAAAAGATCACTTACCAAGAGGCAAGTATGGTTTCATTCTTAAACCAACTCTGCGAAACATAGCCCTTTCCTCATCGGTGATTGTTTCTTGGTCATAATCGGGAGCAGCAGGGATCATCGAGGCTTCTATTTTAGATAATAGTCTCTCTGCTCTAAGCTTTTTGGCTTGGGCCTGTTTGCATGTTCAAGCATTCAATAAATATCAATAAACAAATAAATATAATAACCCAAACATGTTGTTTACCCAGAGCAGATACGAACATGGAAAAATTTACATCAGACAGCAACTACCTAGAAGCACTAAACAAGATAATGAAAACTTTTAAAGATAGATAGGAAATGGAGAACAGAAATAGCAGCCTGATTCAGATCTTTAAAAAAGAAGAAACTTATTTGGCATGCAAGATAGAGAATAGCAGTAGCCTTCGCAAGAAGGCAGACATGCTTATATGTCAAAAGAAGCTTCCATTGTTAATTTTCCAATGGCTTAAAATGATAAGAAAACTAGTGAATAGTCAAAATTTTATTCTTTCTGACATAAATTTATACTTACAGCAGCCAATTCATGTTTGATGCGTTTTGCAAGTCTAGCATGCTTAGATTTCGATGCTTCTTCAATCATCTTTTCACGTCATCGATAGATATATCTCTTCCCAGCTTCATAAAACTCAGCCAAAGTACCTGCGGGTGTCTGTCTTTTATCTTCACCTGATTGAGATGGCTCAACTGCTCTGACAAGCAGTTTCTCCTCAGCATCTTGAATCTGTTTTGTCAAATCTTGTCGTTCTGCCAGAGCAGCAGGAACACTTGGGGGAAGGAAATCTTTTCCGCGGTATATGACAATAAAATACTTGTTTCTAAGCAGCAAGACACCTCCAGTTAAGTTCTGCAAAATTGTTAGCATGCATGAGCAGTATACTATCATCTCTTTTGGAAATGCATGCATGACTAACAAAACCAATAAAATGATTCCAAAAGCCTAAGATTTTCAGTGACTAAAAGCAACAAACCAACCTCAACAATCTCATGAGCAGTTTTCATATCGACGGCGAGAAACTCATGAAACTTAAGCCTAACTAACTCATCCTTCCTCCATTCATTTATCATGAATTTTGTCCAAAACCGCCTTCGTAATCCCCGCCTTCCGCACATTGATCCTTTCCCTTAAATACATCCCAATCCTCCTCAACCTCCTAAGCTCCTCATCCTCAATTGTCAGCTCGGCCAATGTCGGAGCCATGGGTCTCCTCTTTTTCGAACCTTCCTCCTTTACCACCTCCGCCGCCGCGGCTCCGCCTCTTCCGGCTCCCACGGCAGCAAATCTTCCTCCTTTTCCCTCTCTATCAGCCTCGTGTCAGGTCGAACCCACTCTCTCTTCTCCAGTCACCGGCTTCGAATCGTAATCGTCGACCTCATCATCCTCATCTTGATCTTCGTCATCTGGTCCTAACCCAAGGTTTCGCAGCCTGAGAACAATCCCGTCAATAGTGCTTTGACCTTTATCTTTATCTAAATACCGAGTTTCGACGCCCCCTTCACCGTTACCGTCCGCTTGGATGACTTTTTCAGAATGGGAAGGCAAGGCCTGGAGGGAAAATTCGGCGCCACCGGTGTTAAGAGGGATGGAGGATAGGCGGTGGTACCACGGGCAAGAATAGCGGTTCGAAACGGAGCTCTGGTTGATTCCGGACCGGAGAGAGGGGAAAGAGCTGAAGAAGTGAAATGAAGGTTTTGGGAGTGAGAACAAAAGGTTGAGGGAAGAAGGGTAGGAGTAGGAGGAGAGAGAGAGTGGAGCTATGAGGGGGCATTTCCGCCAATCTTGTGGTGGTGAAGCCATTGCTTTGCCTTCTGTTACTAAGGAGTAGCTGCCATTGTTTTAGCTTTAGTTGTAGCACTGGAAAACTTGGAAGAAAGCAGGGGTTTTCACCAGTTGTGCGAGAAAATAGATATTTTGGTAATGGATATGGCTCTTTTTTGGCATTGGGCTTGACTATATTTATTGGGTAAATATTTAAAATATAATATATATATTATAGATTTAAATTTTATTTATGATTCGAAAAATTTATAATAAGATCAGTTTAATAAAAAAATTAAGATTCATAGTAGGATAAAACCGGATTGCATGTTATATCAATAAAACAAAAACTGAAAAAAATAATAAATTCTCACAATTCAGCATTTATTCCCATCAAAACTATGTAATTACATTAAAATATTTTATTAACAATTATTTTATGATACAAATTCAGTACTTAAGAATTTAAGCAATACAACTCACAATACATGACCTTAGCTACACTTGAACAAGCATAAGCCATTATGCAACCCTAAAAGCAATGCAAGTACTATCAATCAGCCAAATCCATGAAGCAGTGATACCTATTCTGTTGAGCATTATTATGTCGCGTGTGATGTACATGATCTTTTGTCTGTAAGCATTTCCTGGGTAAGCAAAACCATCTCGGTAGAACGACGTATTACGTGTAATATCGGAAGGTAAATAACCGATTCAACTTTGAGATCTTCAGCTTAGAGGAGGCGATGAGTTCGAAATCTCCTGACCAAGCTCCTTTATCTTGTTCAGTAGAAGCATCTGCTCGGTTTCAAGCTGTACCATGTATTCTTCTTGCATATCCTGAAGACTTTCGAGTTCACTCAATGGAGCTGACATTCCGTCGGGGTTGCCATCTTCAATTAAAGATTCAAGCTTTATCATCATTTGTTTCATCTACACACAAACTCACATCGAATAAAACATGTCAGTTTTGATATTGTTTGATCATATAGGGCTGTGGAAATCAACATAACCAAAATGTTTTCACCTGGCTTGATATTTGATGAGCTTTTGTTAAGGATGGTTCAGGGTCCAGACTCGGTCTTTTCTCTAGTTCCGGAACTTTTCTTGTAACCTGAACGTGAATCTCTCCCCTTTTGACTCCTTGTAGCGGTATCCACTTATCGGCCATCTCATTTGGAGGCAGTCCCTGGTACTCTACAACACAATCACCTATGTTCGATGTTGGTAGCAACGCGTTGTGGTCTTTGACATGTAACTCCAAAGGACTGCCGTCATCAGGGAATTCTAACGTCTGATGCCACTTAGGGTTCAACGTTTTGTACATGACCTGAAGGGCATTCCATGAATCAGATAAGCTATAAATAGACAGCACTGCACACGCCAATATAAACTTTCATCATTAATTAAACTGTTTCAAAATCAGGTTCTCTCCATACCTTTGTTCGTCTCTTCAAGTTTCCATATTGCACCCTCACGTACGGATCACTTGTCCCTCTTAGATCAGCAGCTACAAGGTCTCTTGCTTCAATAAGCACAAGTTCAATCAAACCATTGCCGTAATATGCAGAACCCTTGAGGAAAAACAAAATGTGTATTAGCATAGATGCACTCGAGATAGAAGAACATCAACAAATATGCGTATATGATGCAGTCTTTGCTTTTTTCAAGCAAAGTATGCTATATTACACAGGCCTCGTAGGTCGAAAAGAACACACATAAAAAGTTACCCTCGATCCTTCATAGTCGTCCATCCTAACTGCTTCTATCTGTAGCCTTAGTTCTCCTGAATTCACGTTCTCAAGAGGGATCCACACATCCCTTGGCGACCCTTCTACCAGTCCCTCAAGATTTATACGAGCACTGCCATTGCTGTCATCTCCACTGACCTCTTCGGTATAGCATTTTATCTTCAGATATTCACCATCTCTGATTTCGTCAAACTCGAACTTCTGGTTCCAAGCCGGATTAAAAGAATGTGCTGTCTTTGTTTTCTGAAGAACCTGAAAAGAATTCATAGCAAAGATCAATGGTAAGCATAATTATAGTACGACAATGTGTAATATCAAACTGGCAACCTCAAATCCATCGTACCTTTCCGTATTGCAATTTAACATACGGATTACACTTTCCACTTTCGTCTTTTGTAATAAGATCCTTCCCTTCCACGATGGTTACACTAATTCTCCTTCCAGTTCTCAAAAGAAAATTTGAGGAACCACTCAGTGATGGTTGTGAGCTAACACGTAAGTTGTTGAAGCTAAGAGAACCGTCAGAAAATTGCCATTCTTTAACCACAAGCTTCACTGCTAACTGTATATATATATATATAAGAGAGAACAAATTTAGGCCGACGAATACGTCACAAATGAATGAATAATAATATTTGTTCTCCATTTAATCCAAAAACAAACTGATAGTTGGCAGTGTGAAACTGAAAAGCACATCACATCGTACCTCCCCTGCATTGACCCCTTCAAATGGAAGAACCATTTCGACGTCTTTGCCACAAAATTCAGAATGCCTGGCTATCACACTCGAGTCTGGCCCTATTGCCCAAAACATTGTCGAGTCATCTGCAACGTATCTCATCTGCTCAACGGACATGAAAATGGGAAATCAACTATTGGTGCCATTAAAGATGATGATAATAAAGAACATCTTGAAAAAGAGAAGGTTGGCTGATGAATATGTTATGGTCAATACTCATAGGATCGATTTTAATGTACCTTAATCTCACAACTTGCAAGATAGTTACATGTCATACTGCCCGGTGTATGCTCATAGAGATGGAATCGAACAATTCCTGTATTATCATGTAAAACCATGTTAAACGTTGAATTCCATTGAGGACCGGAGCCCAGCCTCACATGAGTTCTTCTGGTCAGCTCTCCTAACTCAACTTCAACAAATGTCTGTAGATCTTTATCATCAATGTGCTCTTGTAAACCATCTACACCGGAACTCGGTTGCTTCCTTGATGGGCTTCCTCTCAAGCTACTCCTAGAAAGTTTAGCTGCAGAAAGAACTGTCACGTAAACAATACCGCCCACGGCCTGCTTCCTTAAATCTACGGCCGGTAAAGAGAAACATTGACGGCGTGGTTCGACCATCATCTTAGCTAAGGTATCAGTCAAAAGTTTAATCTGCATTATGAGAAAATAAACATAAAAATTATCCCAATGCCGGAAAGTAAGAGCTAAAATTATTGAGTTGACCTAGCATCTTTTTAAGTTACTTATCGCCTGCAAAAAATTAAAAAAAACGAAAACAAGAGAAAAGTAAGAAAGAAACATACCAACCAAGAAGAGACACCAGGCAGCTCCGTCGCAGGTAGTGATTGGCTTCCTCCACTTCCAAAGGCAACTGTTATCCTAACTTCAGGAGTGGATATAAACGAGTACAAAACCACTTTCCCACCCAGAATTGGCATCAAGAGAAGCTGCAGCATGTAAAAAAGGTATAATATCAATATATCATAATTAACAAACTTGACCGAGGAAAATCAGTCAAAAATGGTCTTAGAGAATTAATAAAGCAAAAGTATTTGTAAAAGAATTTCTGAATTCTCCACATTCGAAGACTTCTAACAGTAAATTTACGAACCAACCCATCAGATAGATCAAATTTCTAGGTAGGACTTATTTGTCCGATATAAAGAAAAGAAAGAAGGGATGCATGGCAGAAGCTTTTCAACGTACATCACCCTTGATGTGAAGGCTATTTATAACAATCTTTGCAGTTCCGAAAAATGGCTTGGCCACCTTGGCAAGCAACATGATGCTGAGGTCACTCGTGTCCCAATCAAAACCCAAGTGCATAACTCGCTGTCGAAATGAATATATGCTTTGTGAGGATCTTAAGTATATTTCACTGATTAGACGACAGAAAATAAACCATTAGACAAAGGCCATACTATTACAAGAAAGAAAGAAAAGAAAAGAAAAGAAAAGAAACTAAGAAATGCCAAGCTGAAATATTTCCTTGTCCATCTGTACAAGCTTGAATAAACCGAGAGCAAACCTTTTATTTTTATTGAAAGACAATAGTCACCCTTTAAAATTTTCTTTTAGTCATGAACCATAGTTGAATTAGCAATCTTCACTACCTCATTGGTGTAACTCGAATCCATTATCAATGCAGAAGAACTGATGTGTGGTCCAAGCAAAACAAAAGGAAAGGGCTCATGACCTCCTTCCAATGATGAACAATTATAGGTAACCTAGGTTACAAGAAAACAGATAACTATTTGGCCCTCTATAATGTCATAGAACTATTGGCCCTCCTTATAGTTTTACCGGCGATTGACATAAAAGGAAAAACATGAACATTGATTGTCATATTCTTAGCCTCAAGGCAAATGAACTTTGATTATAAGTTGTCATGAAAAACCCAGAAGGCCCGAATCCGAACCTGATCACCAAAAGTTGACCAGCGAGTCCCGTGAAGACCCAACCCTGGTGGAGATGAACCTAGTGAAAACTCCAGCAATTCTACTCTTTCCTACATGAATAATAGTCTCATCGGTGAACATGTATCTAAAGATTAACATCAATCAAAAGTCTCCAACTGTAAATTTGAACTTTTTTCTTGAGAACTAAATGCAAATTATATCACTTACAATAAGTCTTGATTTGTGATGTTTCAAACGTTTCTGCATGCAAGAAGATTCACTTAGTAATATAATTAATAAATACGAAACATCAATAGACGAACATTCAATTTGTCTATCGAGAACCATTGACAGCTAAGATTTGAATGCAAACTTAAGCTTTTCCCAAAGTTCATATAAACAAACATATATTTACATAGTGTGGGTATGTGTTCAGAGCAGGCAATGCAAGGTCTAGAAGAAATTGTCCTTCAAAGCTCCCACATGTTTTCAACTAGATATAATGCTTAAAACCGGAACTTGCAATAAGACTAGATAAATGAAGTTTTCACTAAGATCCCACAATTCTCACCTCAACAATGGAGTGGAACCTAAATGAAAGCTTTGGGTTCATGTAGTTGGACCAAATCTCCATTAAAAGCTTGTTTAGCCACTCGCAGTGCTCCAATGGTGTTATTTTCTGTTTAAAAGTGCCAAATGATTGATCATGATAAAACTCACATATCTTGGAAGTAGAAAATCAAAGAAAGTGTAACTACCGAGTTAATTAGTGTAACTCGCTTCCACTTCTTATTCAAGTCTTCAATAGCTATTCGATGTTGATAATTACCATACTGCAATGAAAGAGAAATACATTCATGTCATCATAATAAAAATTTAAATATTAATTGCCAAAAAACCTTCAGCCGATAAAATTATTTTCTTTCAAGCATTTTGATATTACAAAATAGTTTTCTACTAGAAAATCGAGTTGTTCTTATCAAATTAAGTCCAAACTCCAAAGTGAAGAAAAGAGCAGAAAAACATGACAAGAATGAATCTCGACAACATCACCTAGGAATCCAATTCCTAGGTCTACACCTTGGAGGGAAAAAATATACTAATGAAAATAGAACGGTTAAGCAGCTATCCTGATGAAGAGGGAAAACAACAATTGAAACTACATAATCATTCTAAATCTTTTAATGCAAGCTAGTTGAATCTCCAAGATCCTATTTGCTACAAGGGCTATGCCTAGCTAGCTCAATAATCGAGCTAAAGACAGGATAATTGAATTCAATATAAACCAGTTTCCCTTTCAAAAATGAACTTCATCTGTACTCTTGTCTTGAAGTAACAATGATATTTTACATCGTAAATGAAGCGATAGTAATTGTAGAGTATCAAGAATCATATGTTACTTCCACCGAGAACCATTGGCTGGTTATTTGAGAACAGATCGAAACAAGCCGCAAATATGGAGCCAAATCGAAAGTGATTATCTGAACACTGAAAACAAAAATGCACACCATGCCATATGAACAGAAGCAATTCACGGGGGGGGGGGGAACTTAAAATCCAATAGAATCACCTGATCAACTGAATCTATACATGTTTTATAAAAAAATGAATTCTAATAACATAAAACTCTACTCTCACTGCATTTGAATAGCAGATAGAAAATCTAGAATGAGAAAAAGCAACAGAGAAAATCCATTTCTGTTCATTAAAGCTGTTTCATATCCAATATCCATAAGCATAAAACACATCGAAAAGGAAGGAACTTGCCTGGATGGTTGCCCAAACAGCAAGAACAAGAGGAACCCAATTGGACAAGGAGAAAATCCATCTCTCTAAAGCCCAGAATATCAAAATCAAAGGGATCAAAAGGGGGAGATAAGGCTTCTTCTCCAACATGACATTGTTGAAAAAGTTCACAACTACATCAACATTCATCAAGCTTCTTTTTTCTCCTCTACCCATTTTAGCTAACACCAACAAGATCAAATCTTTTCTCACAACAACAACAACAACAAAAAACTGTAATTTCTCTTAAAGTCTCGACTCAAGCTCACAAATATGAAAGATCCATACTTTTTCAACATTTCACCGCCATAGAAAAGGAGCCAAAAGGACAAAGAAAGGTTTATAAGAATAATAATATTCACATGTTATGAATCATACTGGAAAATTCATAAACTGAAGCCAAAGAATTAAGAGCCATATAGAGAGAGATGGAGATGGGGATGGAGATGAAAAGTCAAAGTCGGTCTAAATGCTAAAAGAACTGTGGTGGCTAAACTATGAATACTATCGTTGTCTTTCTTTGTTGGGTTACTAATAATTATTATAATTTTGCTTAAACTTCGAGATGAGAGGAAAAAATATAGTTAAAATTCCGTTTAAATTACTGATTACTGCAATGAGAATGAAGACAAAATAATCTTTTTGTTAATACCAATGTTTTTTTTAAGGGTAAATTACATATTTAATATTTAAATTATTAATTTTGGTATGTTTTGGCATTTAAATATTTAATTTAAAGTCCTTTAATTTTTTATAATCTCGTTATTCATTCAATTTATGATTTATTTCAAGTCTTTTTTTTACTAAATTTGAAACTGATGCTCATATACCGTAACATAATACTGATGTAACTTCGTTGTTATTTTTTTACTAAAGTTGTATCTTTTTATTTAGTCCCCTGACTTTTCATTTTACTCAATTTGGTCTTTCGACTGCAATTGTTTTCAAATTCTTTCTTCTCATCAATTCATTGACTCATTTATACTCTCATCAATATTTTACCCTCAAAATAATTTCTTTAAAATATAATATCATTAATATATTTCATAATTTTAGATTGTATTTGATATATTAAATAACATTATAATATGAAAGAATATAACTCATCAATTTGAATAACTCAAAATTTTTTGTCTCGACTTGAATCGATCGAATATTCACTCTTATCCATGAACATAAGGACATGGATAGGCATGGGTTGACTTGGGTCGGATCGATTCGACTTGAAAAATATACAATTTGTATTCGAAATATATAAAATATTATTATACTTATTTTTTGGTTGAATCGGGTATTTTCATTATAAATATAAACTCTACCTGATCCGAACATATATTGCAAAAAACCCAATTTGATCCGGATCTTATTTTTAAAAAAAATTAGACCTAATAAAATTAGATTGAGTCAAAATCCGTCAAGTTCGGATTCGTGTCCATCCCTCCATACAGACTAGGTTCACTAGAATATACAAAACCCGGCCCAATGAGGTCCAAACTGAATCACTACTGTGGCGTGTACTCGGAAATCATTGTCAACACTATAAAGTTCAAATTGGCGGAAACCCTAGCTCCTCACTAATCTGCTGCAGGGAGGAGCTTGTAACGTTTTACAGTCCGTCGTCACTTCCATCTGCTGCATTTTCTCAGGTGAAACTTCTTGTTTTCTTATCACTTGCTTGGTTGCCTAGGAACTGAATTAAAAACAAAGAGAATGGATACGTTTCGCTTGCTCCCTTTTTTTCCCTTCTAGTTTTTGTTTAGGTTCATTTTTTTCTCTGATATGCTAAATTCTGTGTGCTGTTTGGTGAAATGTACTGGAGAAGTGGCTGTTTTCTTAAAACTGATATATAATATATGTGTGTATTATCTTTTTTTCTTGTTTATTCAAGACTTGTTGCCAAATGATTGTAAAAACATTTCAAGTTGAAGCATGTACATATATTATTTGCTTTTGTTTGATACAGCATGTAATTCGAACCTTTCCGTAAAACTTTTTAATTGTTACCTTGTTCTTGAATCTTGAACTTATACAACTGTTCTACACATCTTAAATTGAGCATTCAAAATTTGTATATGGATAGCTCAATATTTGATCCTAGGGATGGCAATGGATCCTGGACCCGACCCGAATCGTTAGATTCAGATCCGTTTTATTGGGTCTGGATCCTAAAATTTTGGACCCGACGGATCCTGGACCGGATTTGGATCCTCTGATTAAAGTATGGATCCGGGTTCGGATCTAACACTAAGATACGAGGTCTGGACCCGTTTATAGAAAAGTCCACCTTTGATTTTAATATATATATATATATATATATATATATATATATATATTTGACATAATAATTTTTAAAAAATATATAGATATTTTATAGAGGGAGATACCTGAGTTCTTAGAGGTTTTAAACTCGGCCTGCAACAATAGAATGTTTCATGATCTACATTTTTTAATGTTTGTGTTATTCAAAATACATTCTTGTAATTGTGTGGAATTTTTTTGAGACTTTAGTTTATCGTTTTTATTCTGTTACTAGTTGTATTGGAATTAATCTTTCCTCCATTGGAGATGTGATGTGAAATTAGTAAATGACAGTTTTATTACGTTAAAAAATAGGTCAAATGGTCGTTTTTTAACAGACCCGTTTTGGATCAGGACCCGTGAGATCCGTTGGATCTGGATATGGGTCTCGATTTTCTAGACCCGTAGATCTGGTCTGGGTCTGGATCCAAGATGTGAAAATGGATATGGATTTGGGTCTAGCTGGATCCGGTCCAAATCCGGACCATTGCCATCCCTACTTGATCCTATTTTTAATTTGTCTGATTTTTTTATTACATTTCCTTTTTCTTTCAAAATTCTTTTTCAACCTTTTATTTTCTTCTCACGATACAGGTATTGAAGATGTATACTTCGAGGAAGAAGATCCACAAAGATAAAGATGTCGAGCCAACAGAGTTTGAGGAGTCGGTTGCCCAGGTCCTAAAATGCTCTTATGTGTTATGTCTGCTGCACTTGAAATGTTACTGAAAATGTGTTGTTTTGTGAATGATTTAAGGTGTGTGTGATTTTTTGTTATAGGCTTTCTTTGATTTGGAGAATACCAACAACGATCTAAAAAGCGACCTCAAAGATCTCTACATTAATTCAGCAGTGTAAGAATGATCAATTATGGTCCATCAAATGTCAAGTTACGTGTGTATTTGCTCATCATATGATAGCTGTAACATTTTTTTCCACTTACAGTCAGATTGATGTATCTGGCAGCCGGAAAGCTGTTGTTATCCATGTTCCTTACAGATTGAGGAAAGCTTTTCATAAGGTTCATGTTAAGCTTGTGAGGGAGCTTGAAAAGAAGTTCAGTGGCAAGGTGAGGAAAGCACTAAGCTATTTCTTGCATTTCTGCAAAAAATGAGAATAAAATCTGTTTTATTGTATTGTTCATGATTGGTATTTCTGCTTGAATTCTTTTTGCTTGATTTGGGTTTATCGTTTTGCATAAATTTATATTTTGTGTTTAATAATGACTTACTTGTTTGTTTGATTGGTGGTATGCTCATGATGTTGGTTTTAACATGGTTTATGTTTACATGACAGGATGTGATTCTTATTACTACCCGGAGGATATTAAGGCCTCCAAAAAAAGGCTCTGCTGTTCAGAGGCCACGTAGCCGCACATTAACTGCTGTACATGAAGCTATGCTAGAAGATATTGTCTTACCTGCTGAGATTGTCGGGAAGCGTATTAGATATAGAATTGATGGAACCAAGATAATGAAGGTACGACAGTGCTCATATAACTATTAATACTAATTCTACAATGAGGATGCTAAATCTCGGGAGAAATGACCAAGAAATTATGATTGTTTTCATCGTTCATAGATCTGATTAATTTTTTGAAGGCTGATGCTCACTCCTTTTTTGCTACCCGTTTGGTGCAGGTCTATTTGGACCCAAAGGAACGGAACAACACAGAGTATAAGCTCGAGACCTTTTCGGCAGTTTACCGGAAGCTTGCCGGAAAAGATGTCGTGTTTGAATTCCCAGTTACTGAGGCATAGATAGATCCTCTTTGAAGTTTTCAATGCCTTTTCCTTGTCTGTCCCCCCCCCCCACCCACACACAAAAAAAATGATTTTTGTAGTGGAGCACCTTAAACTTTGAGATTTATGAGTACCCTTGTGGTGTAACTTAATTAGTGTTCACGCATCTTTGGTGTGGAATACAACATTGCTCGTTATTACCGTGCCACGCTTTTTACGACTAATATTGTTGTGTTTGATTGCTGGCATTGTTAATACTTTGGCTTTCACACAGCATATTCTTATTTGCAACATCACTTATATGGAATCCTTTTCTCTTGTCTATGTTGATGTTTAACTGGCTGCCTAAGGTGGATAGGTGGGTTGAAGATTGGTTGGCTGGTTGTGCGGTTGCGGTAGAGTCGTGTTTTGAGACAGATTTATGGAAGAGTTTCCACGAGGGATTCTTTAGAGGAGGAGAAGAAAAAATACCACCTCTTTGGGTGTCATGTGACGGAATTTGGGTTGTAAATGAGATGAGATAGATTACGAGTTACTTAAGATGACTCGGTCAAAGCACGATAAATAGTTGACTTGAGTTCTTAATGAGCTGAAACGAGTTTTTTTATACTCAACTTAAAAAGCTCGTGAGCAACTCAAAAATATAATATATTAATATTTTATTTTTTAAAAAATATTATTAATAATATTAATATTTATGTGTTGATTTAAAAAGAATGTATTATAAAATTTTTATATATTTAAGGTTCAATATAAGTTTGAATACGAGGCTTTAATCGAATTATGTTTAAGAATTATTTTTCTTTTTGAGTTTTTATGAGCTTCGGTTTATAATTTCGAGTTTGAGTTGAGTTTGAAAATTTTAGGTTTGCGAGTTTTCGAATCGAGTCGAGTTTATTTTAACATTTTTGAGTTGAATCGAGTGTAATAATATTCAAGTTCGAATGACTCATTTAAACTATGTGATAACTGGGGATCGGTATGGGATTGATACCTTTCTGATCGACTTTGTTAGGGTCGTAATAGATTTATCTAATCAGTCTATTAGATGTTTAATGATGAAATGATTGTTTCCTCCAAGTTGTCTTATCTATCGGTCGCAACATTAATGGACTATTGCAACGAGCATGGCCTGTAGTTGGAGGTGTATTTAACTTTGCTTGTTGATTTCAGAGGTGTGTTACTGTTGTTTCGGAACGGAGAGTATAATAATTGCATGGTTCATATGGCCCTTTTTACAGGTGGGCAAACGTAGGGGTCCCTCCAGAGATGGGGTAAGCAAATATGGATTGATCACTCGTTGGGAAGGAATTTGTTGTCTTGTTATCGGCTTCCCTATTGCTCACATGGCCAACTTCATAAACATTAGGTAACT